ATTTAGGCTCCAAACTCTTTGGGAACATGAGTTCAATTACCGTCACTGCCAATGTTTTGTTTAAGAAGCCCTGTTGATACGTTGAGTTAAGCATTGGGCTGGTAACCAAAAGGTCAGTAGCGGGAACTCACCAACTGCAGTGCATGAGAACGATAAAGCATTGTGCTTCTGTAAAAATTTGTAGAATTGGAACTTGTTGTTAAGTACCGTGGAGTCAGTTCTGACTCATAGTGACCCTGCACGGGGTTTCCAAGGCTGCAGATCTTTATGAGAGCAGAAAGCCTCATCTTTCTCCCATGAAACAGCTGGTAGTTTCGAACTGCTGACCTTGAGGTTAGCAGCCCGATTTGTAACCACTATGAACTACTTTGGCTCAATTCTACTGACTTTTTACTCCTGACCCTGCCAATTTCCCCCTTCAACTTCATTCCATGCTGTAATAGAACCCGGTACTTCTGTCATAAGGAGCTCTGGTAGTGTAGTGATTACAAATCGGGCTGCTAACCTCAAGGTCGGCAGTTAGAAACTACAAGCTGTTCCGCAGGAGAAAGATGAGGCTTTCTGCTCCTGTAAAGATTTGCAGCCTCGGAAACCTTATGCAGGGTCACTATGAGTTAGAACTGACTCCACAGCACCTAACAACAACAACAATAACAACTTCTGTCACGATAATGGTTGATTCAGATCTTACATGGTCTCTGTGTTTGATGAGTTCTTTGAGGGCCAAAGGTGAAGTGTTCTTTTTCTTCCCAGCATCTAACCACAAACTGAAAAAAAAAATGTGTGGATGCATGCATGCCTCTGTTCCTTTATGGGAGTAATGTAAATTTAGCAATACTTACTGAGACACTTGTGTATATGCCTATTGTTGCTAGGGATAAAAGAACAAAACAAAACAAACCAAGCCAGATAATATCATAAGTTATTTTAAAGTCTAAGATTTTCATTTTTACCTTTTGTGTTTTTCTTATGTCCCTTTTGTAGCTCCTTTACTGTGTCATGCCATTATTATGTTTAGATCATGCTAAATGAATGAATAAATTCATGTGTATATCTCTATAATCCTACTATAGTGGAGGCATTTAACCAGGTTGATGTCACTGGGTCATAGCATTAATTTCCCCTGCTGCAGTTTTGTGACATAGTGGTCCCTCTGTGGGCTAAGATTAATAAGGAAAGCATTTATCTGTTTGATCAGGTAACTATGTATTTTAATTTAACCTGGCGTTCTTTGATTAGTAGCTCTTGAAAGAAAGGTGATGAATCACTAGTGACGTAAATAGGATGAGAAATTTTACTGTAATATTTGGTTATGTAACAAAGCTAGCTTGAGGACTCTAGGAAAAGAAAGTATTTAATTGCAAGTGAAAATGGTACCCAGGACGTAGAGCTACAAGGACAGACTATTTTGAGGTCACACTATTAACAATCAGACTTCTTAATAATGTATTTGGCTTTAAGTATGTTGTAGTCATTAATGCTTCCTCTTTTCTCACTCTGATGTTTTAATAGTTTTCAAAGACAAGGAGGACTTGCTCTTTCTGGGCAAAATAAGTGTTACATCTCTTACCTCTGTCATGTTAGCAGTTCACAGATACAAATCTCTCTTCTGAATCACACATACTCTTCATATAACTTGATTTATAAGATTAGAGGCTTTCAGAGTTAGAAGGAATCATCACAGCTGTTTAAAACACCCACTGAATAGATTTTATGTCTCAGATGTTTCAACCTTTTTTTCTGAAGTATCAATAACTACATTCACATGTGTACCTTAGGAGCTGAAATAAAATCCTACAAAAGTGACAGAAACTACTCTAACAATAGGTAATTGCTACAGATATCACACCTGTAGATAGCAGTTACTGGATGTTGAATTCAGCGTAGCTAAAATAAGCTGGAATTCCTGCTGTGGCTCTGATCAGCACTGAACTACGAACTACAAGGTCAGCAGTTCAAACCCACCAGCTGCTCCTCAGAAATCCTATATAGGGTTGCTATGAGTCAGAACCATCTCAGTGGCTATTAATAATAACAACAACAAAATAAGTTAATTGGGCAGTGCCTGATAGATCCTGCCATATCTATACAACAGGTGTAAACCTGACCCCCACCTAGATTATTTGACAAATTAGGAGTACAAGTTCATGAAAGTGATGTGATTATAGAATTGACTTTGAATCTGCTGCAATTTACCAGTTTAAAAAGTAAGTAATTTGTTGACTTTTTGTTACAAGTTATTTAGAATATTTAACCTTTGAACTAATGCTTACAAAGTATTGCTCATATCAGGAGGTGAGCAGAGTATCTAAGTGGGGTGAAGGGAGAAAGATACAGATATAAAGTTCTTACTGTTTGCAAAAACTGTGGTACTAGCCAACCCTTAAACGTTACTCTCTGCTCAACTGGGTTTGATGATTCTTTGCATTGGCCACACAGAACTCAGCCAGCATACTCACAGTTTTGAGGTTTATTAGTGAAGTCAAGAGTTTACAATGCAGAATCAGTACATTTCAGAGCATGTTTGTTCCAGTCAAGACAGTCTCCCTTCAGCCATGCCCACAGAGGAGCCTCTCTCTGCCTGGTTAATGTTACAAAGTTCTTTTATTGACTGCTGGTAAATGTCCACAATTTACAACACTACATGGTAGCCTCAGCCTAAAGGCATTTGCTCTAGCTCTTTGGGTCAGCAAACCTAGCTCCTCCAATTAAGTGTCTAGAGGCATTTCTTTGTATAGCCACGACTCCTACCCAATGTCATTCAGCATCAGAGGCCTACCACTCTTATCTCATGCTCTTATTCTTGCTCTTGGCTCTGTTGTTGCTTCTGTTTTGTCACTCCTCCTGTGTCACAACTTTATGTCCCTGGGTTAAGGAGGCTCAGTGTGCAGGGATCTCTAGGTCCCCTTTGATGGTAGTGAGATACCTCCTCCTGCTTCTGACATGGCTCATTTTATACCCGTGCTAGAGTTTCAAGTTTTTACAATTATAGTTAACTCTGTTAACATCCACAGCTGAATCCTGACATGCTATCAGTATCTTCTCCCACCTTCTCTTAACCAGACCCATCAGGAAATAGTAGTTTGGTGGGAGTTATAAAGACTATGGCTATGGTTGGAAGAGACATAAGAAAAACCTCACTGCACCGTGTCGTTCTTTTGTCAGTTAAATTCCTAATTGTAATAAACGATAAATGTCAGTTAGAAATTAGTGAAAATTAGTAATGCTAAATTCTTAGACTGGGGAATTCTCATTCCCCAGATTAAGAACCTTTACCAGAAGATTCAGGAGGTTAGGCCTAAATAGGCTAGACTAGGAATTTAGAAAACACAAATATGCCAAGATTTAGAATAGAGATAGTTCATGGCAGAATTTAGGTCACAGATCTTGTACAGAAGAAAATTCAGCAGTGAAATAATAGATGTATGAGAGGGTAGAATGCAAAAATTTTTGGGGTCATATCAACCATAGCCTGAAGCACTCCCACTGAGATATATTTATGTGAGCTTTTGTCCATTTTTTTGTTTAAATCAGTTTTGTTTTATTTGTAAGTAGCCAGAAGATACCTGATTGATACATTGGCCCCGAAGAGATTAGCTAAATATTGTGAGCCAAATTTGAGCAAGGTATATACCTGGTATTACTTACTTTAGAAACAAGACTGCAAAAATGATGCCCAGAATCATAAAGGTTCTGAGAAGGGGGTGTCCCAGGAACTACTGCGGAGGTGTCAAGGGCAGGACCGTGAGCTCTCTCGGTTCTTCTAATTTACTGGAAGTCTCTAATTTTACCTGTCTATATAGTTTCTCTGTAATCATCTGAAGAAAGAGTTCTGCTTTTTAGATGAGTTTGAGACACTAAAATAGACCCCTACAATTACACTCTTGCAATGAATTCTTCATGTATGGAAAGATGTGTCATGGAAATAACTCTGGGCATATGGCAGAGAGCATACTCAGGATCAGATGTTTCATACCTAGAAAGTTATCTTTTTAAAAAGCAATGCAGGGTAATTTTCACCCCATTTTTTATAGGTAAGAAGAAGGATAAAAGGTCTTACTTAGGAGCCCCCGATAGCCTAGTGGGTCACTGTGAGTCGGAATCCACCTGACAGCTCACTACCATCACCACCCAGGTTTATTTAGTCCTCGGACCCAGCCCATCTGATGCACTGCTTTTCCCACTAAGTCATAAGATTATTATAAGTCACACTTTATATACTATTTATATTTTAAATAGTAGAGTCTTACCATTTCTTAAATTCCATTAGTTCCAACTTGAGAGGCTAGAGGAAAGGAAAAGATGTTGGAGATTAGGGAGAACTAGCTAGATAGGTTGAGAGTTTAAGAAGGCGAAATTTTAAGAATTATATAGCAGTCTGTATTATGTAGGAGTAAATTATGATAGTAGAAATAAGAGAAGTTTAGGATAAGACCCTTTGATTAATATGTAATGGGAAAACTCATGATACTTACATTTTTTAATGCAATGTTATTCATAATTAACCATCTGTTATGACTTAGGAAAAGATTGAGTAACTAATCATTTGCTATGACCTATAACTAATTATTTGTTATATTACATTTACATTATTATAAACAAGAACTTCATGAGTAACTTTGGCTTTCAGGATAATCCCAATAAAGGCCATTACCCAAAATTATATGTGTGTATGTTGAGCATTTAAGGAGCCCTGATAACATAGTGGCTTACGAGTTGGTCAGCAGTTCGAATCTACCAGCCTCTCCATGGGAGTAAGATGTGGTTTCTATAAAGATTAACAGTATCAGAAAGCCTATATAGGGTCTCTGTGAGTTGGAATCGAACCAGCACCTGCACCACCACGTTGAGAGTGTGACCCTTAAAGTCAATTTTATTTATAGAGATTTGAATTTATTAAACCTTTTTAAATTTATACTGTTATTTATACATAGTACCTTTTTTTTTATATAGTGATAATTGATCAGTTGATCTGTCCATGTTTGTTTGTTTGCTTCAAGATGACTCAAGGAGAGCTGCATCTAGTGCTGTAACGGAAACTGGCCCTCCTGCAATGCCAAGGTTACCTTCCTGCTGTCCCCAGCACTCGCCATGTGGAGGATCAACACAGAATCACCATGCATTAGGACACCCACACACAAGTTGCTTTCAGCAGCATGGTCATCACTTTCAACACCACCACCACCACCACCATACTCCTCTCCCGGCTGTCCCAGTTTCTCCCTCCTTCACGGATCCTGCTTGTCTTGTAGAAAGGCCACCACAAGTGCAAGCACCTTGTGGAGCAAATAGTAGTTCTAGTAGTAACTACCATGACCAGGTATGTAGAGTTGTGTGTGTGTGTGTGCGCGCGCGCCTGTTTTTTAATTGTAGTGGAAGAGTGATTGTTACACATGTTACAAATCATATTCTTATTGTTTATGTGATAACCTATTTAGCCTCCTATAGTTTTACAAAAAACCAAACCAATTTTCCAGGATTTTCAGATGGTCTCAATTGATGCAGTTAATTGATGGGGATTAGAGATAGTAAAATCAGAATTGCTACTTAATCTTAATTCTTTGTTTTAGAATGGTTTTGATGTTTTTAGTCAAATGCAGATCAGTCTCCTCTTAGGAGGAAGTTATTTCAGAAATGGTGATGAAGCCACAGTGTCAAACCTAATTCAGAGAAATTAGAAAAATCTCCCAGTTTGTTCCTTTTTAATATTCTATTCTAGAGCTTTCTATAACCTCTGCTTGTTAGGTAGAAATGGACAGCTTCATCATCTGCAAACTAGAGCAGAGAGATTTTTGATTTGACATTAATGAATTTCTTTGCCTGTCAAACAAATAGAGAATTGAAATGTCATAAAAATAAAAATAATTATAATTAAGTAAAAAACTACAAAGAAACCAGTTGTCATGGAGTTGATACTGACTCATGACAACACCCCTGTGTGACAGAGTAGAACTCTGCTGATAGGGTTTTCATTGGTTGATATTTTGAAAGTAGGTTATTTTTTTTTATTCTTTTTGAGGCATCTCTGGGTGGACTTAAACTGTCACCAACCTGTTGCTTCAGAGTCAAGCACATTAACTAACTATTTGCAATTACTCAGGGGCTCTTAATTAAGTAGTTTATATTAGTTGTTATAATATTATTGTAACTTTTATTATTATTGTTAGCTTGAGATAGCCAATAATATTAAAATCGTATTGGAGTTCATAGGAAGTAAACAAGGCTGGCTATACTGTGTGGAGAAAACATCACTGACCATTCCTCCCACAGTCCTCTCTACTTTTCAACTGGGTTCAATAATTCATTGCAGTGGCTACACAGAAATCAGACACCATTCTCACAGTTATGGGATTTACTTGGGAAGTTAGGATCAGAAATGTTCAGGGCACAGTTCTTCCTGTCAGGATAAATAACCTCTCCTCAGCCATACCCACAGGCAGGTCTCGCTCTGCCAGCCAGTGTTACATAGCTGCTTCAGGGCTGTTGATAAATACCCGCAGGACACACCACTCCACCAACAGCTTCATCAAGTATGATAAGTAAATGGTAAAAAAGTGAGTTTACCTACTTCTCTCCACATTCCTTCAATAGCTGCCAAAAAATACTGTGAATTTTCTTGTGGTTGTTGAACTAGTACAATAATATAGTTCTGATGTATATGCAACATTTTGTTTTTCAACTGAGTTATCTATATATGTAGTGTCTTTTACACTTCTGCCAGTGTAAAATAGATGTAAGCTATTTATGTATCTCTTATTTGAGGTATTTGAACTCTATTCAAAACTTGAGGAGAATAAGTAAGCTCCCACACATTTCAGTGGCAATAATCGGTAAGAGAGAGAACAAAAAGTGAACTTTTGAAGATATAAACTGTTTGCTATATCTTGTTTGGTGGACTTTGAAATTAGCTACATGCACATGAGCTAACTTCAGATAGTCTCCATTTGAGACCAATTTGGTCACAGCAGAAAGTTTAGAAATGGAAACAGAAAATAACTGGTCTGAAGATTTGGGATTATGTAAGATGATTTATGATTGAGCACCTGATTGTAGATAGGCAAAGAAAGATTAGGGATGAGTAGGCTCTTGAAGAAATTGTACTAGTTTGTAGCCCTACCTGATCCCTTAATATGAATGTTCTCTCTTGAAAGCATGTTTGTAGTTAGTGTTAAGCATATTTATGATCTTCAGAGAGTATTGTAATTTTCCATCTCTATCCTGCTTATTCTTTTTGCTTTCTAAAATAGAAATTTTCTGTAAACTTTTTGAAGCCCTCTTGTGGATAGACCACATTGTTCTTTATTTTATTTTATTTTATTTTTAAGGTTTTTATTATGGATTGAGTGAAAGTTTACGGGGCAGATCATCAGTTTTACATTCAACAAATCATACACCTTGTTTCATCACAATGATTATGATCCCCCTATGTACCATCAATTAACAGTATTTCTCTCTATCCACTTTAGCTTTTTAAAACAAAACAAAAAAACAACACTCAGGCATATATAATAATTTACACCTCCAAAGGGCACATTCTGCAAATCTGCCTCCTGGCCAACAACTCTTAGTCCCTCTTTTCTCATGAATCTAGAGTCCTTGGCCTCTCCCCCTCTCCATCTTCCCATCTCTGCCTCTGTTTCTGGCGTTGCTGCTTCTCTGGAGTAAGGTTCCACATTCTGCTTGTGCTCTTCTCCCTTGATGGTCCAAGGGTCCTCTGTTGCTGGACAGTGAGATTAACCACTCCCCTGCTTTTGTTACAAAACTTATATCTTTACAATTGTGACAGTTGCAGTTAGTCATGACAACAGTTATACACTATTGAATCTTATGAGTCTTATCCCCATCTCTTTTCACCAGACCCATCTAGACAAGATGAAAAGTATTCATTGGGGACTTTTTCTTCCCCACACCCTCTTAAACTCCCTCTTGAAACCTTGTAAGTCAGTCACTTCGTGCCTTTATCGCCCCCTCATTTTAGGTAGCCAATTTCTAAGTTGTCCGTCCCTGTCTACCTTGTGTACAGAGGGGATAGCATTGATACTTGATGTGAAGACTCCTTCCCTCTCTGTTGATATTTAGAGTTACTACCTCGATGAGTATATATCAGGTTCATCAAATTGTAGCAATTAACCTTGTTTCCTTTATCCAAAAAAAAAAAATTTTTTTTTAAAAATCTTCCTCTAGTTGAGTTCTGATTATCAAGCCACGGAGGCTAGGTCACGAGGCTAGGTCAAATGGGTACTGTCTGCAAGTTTGGGTGTTCTTGTGCATCTCCCCTCACTTCATATCAGTTGGATGCTTGACTCTCAGCTCTAGCCCTCTTTGGTTATGTCCTTGACCATGGGCTCAGGTGTCCTCAGGTCTCACCACACTTTGGACCAACCAACCCTTCCTCTTCTCTCTGTCATCTCCAGGTCAGTGAGAGTCAATGGACTGTGGTTGAACTCAGCCCATTTCTTCATTGCTGTCTTTCCCCCTCTTCCACTCACCAGTAGACTGATGTGATCGCCAGCAAGCCCTAGGGACCTCTGCTTCTAGACTGAAAAGTTAATCACTCCCCTCCTTGCTATAAAATGCCTGCCTTTACATTTCCAACCCTCACAATCAGTCCTGATAATAATTACTCACTATTGTATCACAAGAGACCTATCTGCATTTCATTTCATCAGCCCTGCCTAGACAGATTGAATACTACTCACTGGAGATTCTACCTTCCTCCAGGCCCCCTGGATCTAGGTTCCCTCTTGAAAGCTTGTAAGCCAGTCACTTCTTGCCTTTGTAAGCTTGCTTATTCTTGTAGGAGCCAGTCATGCTGACATTTTTGTTTTGGGTTTTTCCTGATGATCTTTCATTGAAGATGTATCTTCTGTCGCTCTAGCTGTTCCAGGCTGGTCTGCTTGTGGGTAGGTTCTGGATGGAACTCAGGATTCCACCCAAGGTCCTATACTCTGCAAAGGGTCTGCAAGAGGCCTATTTCACTGGGCAAGTTCTAGAACCCCTTTAAGGTATTCCAGTCCGTTATTGGCTGAAGACGGGCTTCAAAGTTTTCAGTAATCATGTTTACCGACATTCCTTTCTATCCCACACAAGTGTCTATTTTACAATAGTAGGCTTGTCTTTATATGTTACACTTCTGTTTTCCCTAGCTGCTTTCAGGATTTTGTCCTTATCTTTGATTTTGGAGCACTTGATTATTATATGTCTTGGTGATTGTCTTGTAGGGTTCATCTTTCCTGGGGTTCCTTGAGCTTCTTGCATGCTTATCTTTTAGCTTTTCAGGATATTAGGGAAATTTTCTTTTAGAAGCTCTTCACCTACCTCCTCTGTGGACTTGTGTGATTCTTTCTGTTCCAGAATGCTGATAATTCTTAAATATCCTTCTTCATGTTGTCCAACATGAATCCCAGGCCTCGGCAGATTTTATTAATCCTTTTTTGTGGTTGCTCTTCTATCTTAGCAGTGTTGAGAGATTTATCTTCTAGCTCACTAGTTCTGGCTTCTATCTCTTCAATTCTACTCCTTTGCCCTTTCAGTGTACTGTCTATTTTGATATTCTATTATTAATTGTTTGAACCTCTTTCTGTAGGTTTTGAATTGTTTCCAGTGCTTTATCTATTTTACTTGATTGTTCCTGTAGTGCTTTCCTGACTTCTTCCTTATTTTTTCTCAACTCCACTGTGTAGTGTTTTGATACATTTTATAATCATTTTTCTAAATTCTTTCTCAGGCACTTCCAAAGCCTGCCCATCTTCCAGTATGGAGTGTAGGTCTACTTCCAGATCATTTGTCTCAAGTTGCTTTATCTCGTTTCTGGACATGTCCTGATATGGTCATCTGTTTCTGTTTTTCGGGCATCTTCAGGGGTTATCTGTGGCCTTAGTACTTAGATGGGTGTGTGTTTTGATATTTTTTTTGCTTTCTGATTGCGTCCAGGTAGATGTGATCAGGAGATGAGCTTTCCTGAGAAATATGAAGATGCCACTGTTGGTCGTTAAGACATAACTCAGGATTTAGTTTTTGGCCTATTTCCTTTTTAGTCTGCTTGTCCCGCTGCACAATCCCCATTCAGACATTTTTCCTAGTGATAAAGAGTTCAGGGCTGGCTGTGGCTGTTTTGTACTGCCATTTGGTGATAAGTGGGAAGTGTCACTTTAAATTTCGAGGAGATCTGTGTGCATGCATAGTAGAACCCTCCTGGGGGCTGGGGTGCGGTGTCAATTCGCTCAGGCACCCCCTTTAGTCAACAGAATGGAGGTGCACAGAAAGCAAGAGACTGATGAACAGATAGAAAAAGAAAAAAAAAAAAACAAAAAAAAAAACGTCCACACCTGCATCTCCGTGGTTCTGTCAGGCGTCCGTTGCTGCTCTGATCCTTCCCCTGCTTGGTTTCACCCAAGATGGTGGCTCAGGAAGCAGCTAAGCATCTTGGATTAGAAAGCAATGGATTTCTTCCTTCAGCTACAAATTCCCTTAGCTGTAAGCTTTCCAACCTTCTAAATATGCCTTTATATGTGGTTCAGAGTTCTGGGACCATCCCCTGAGCCTGCTTGGTCTGGTATTCTGTGTTGTTGCTGGCGGAGTTCCTCACTGCATTTCCACCCTCTCCGCCATCTTGTTTGTTCCTCTTTTATTTTATTTTTAATCTTTCATTTAATTGTTCCTTCTAGGAAGACTTTTGTCCTACTTTACTCTCTCTAGAAGTGTTCTTAATCACTGACTGGAGAAGAAGATAGAAAGAGCATGCTTACTTACTTTTTAATTAAACGTTTGATTGTGGTTTGGGTGAAAGTTTGGAGAACAAATTAGCTTTCCATTCAATGACTTTATATCTTTTGTTTTGTGACGTTAGGTGCAGTCCCCTCAATGTAGCAGCACTCTTCCCATTTTGACCCTGAGTTCCCTGTTAACATTAACCCATCTTTCCTTTCCCTTCCTACCATCTGAACTTTGGATTTGGACAAATGCTACCCTTTTGTTCTCATATGATTGTTCTGAGGAGCATATTCCTCATGGATATTATTGTTCACTATTGTTGGCTGAAAGTGGGGCAACTTGCTTACTTGCATAGTCTGTTTGTTTAACTTTTAGATTAAATAATAGGGAAGGGATTGACCATAAATAAGTTCATAATAATATGATGATAAGTCAAAAAGTTACGCTGCAGTTCATATGTGCACAGGTTTATTCCAAACAACATGTCTCTGCAATCAGTGTATGGCTGCAGACAAGTTCTCTTAGTAATACCTTTGTCTTAGTCTCGTTCAACTAAAACCTCACTGCTATCAAGTTGATTCCAACACATAATGACCCTGTATAGTGTTTCTGAGACTAAATTTTTGTGGGAACAGGCTGCATCATCTTTCTCCCAGGAACTGCAGATGAGATTGAACCACCAGTCTTGCAGTTAGCAGCCCATTGTTTATCACACAGTACCACCATGACTCCTTTAGTTTCATTTGCTGTTGTAAGTGCTGTCAAGTCTATTCCAAATTATAGTGACTGTATAGAGTTTCCAAGGATGGCTGGTAGGTTTTTGAACCTCTTACTTTACAGTTAGCAGCTCAGTTTTATCCTACAGTGTCAAAATAGGACATGTTGTTGTTAGGTGCCATTGAGTTGGTTCCGACTCATAATGACCTCGTTCACAACAGAATGAAACACTGTCTGGTCCTGCGCCATACTCACAATTGTAGTTATGCCCTTTGCTGCTTCCACTGTGCCAATCCATCTTGTTGGGGGATCTTCCTCTTTTTCATTAACCTTCCACTTCACCAAGCATGATGTCCTTCTCCAGGAACTGTTCACTCCTGATAACATGTACTAAGCCTGAGAGATGACATCTTGCCATCCTGGTTTCTAAAGAGCTTTCTATTTGTACTTTTTCTCAGATTTGTTTGTTCTTCTGTCAGTCAATGTACTTTAGTATTATTCTCTAACATAACTCAAATGCATCAATTCTCCTATGGTCTTCCTTATTCATTGTCCAACTTCTGCATGCATATGAGGCAGTTGAAAATGCCATGGCTTCGATCAGGCACACCTTAATCCCTAAGCGGCTATCTTTGTTCTTGAGTACTTTAAAGAGGTCTTGTGCAGTGGATTTGCCTAACGGAATATATTGTTTGGTTTCTTGATTACTACTTTCATGAGTATTGATAGTGGATTCAAGCAAAAATGAAGTCTTTGACAACTTTATTCTTTTCTCCATTTATCATGATAGTTTCAAATTTATTATTTATTGGTCCAGTAGTGAGATTTTTGTTTCTTTACATTGATGCAATCTATGTTTTAGGCTGTGGTTTTTGATTTTCATCAGTATCTATTTTAAGTCCACTTTTCCTTCAGCAAGCATCTGTATATGTTGTTGTTAAGTACCATTGAGTTGATTCCAACTCATAGTGACCCTTTGTAGGGTTTCTGAGAAGCAGCTGGTGAGCTTGACCTGCCAACCATGTGGTTCAAACCAACCTTGCAGTCCAGCGCATTTAACCATTAGTGCCACACAAGGACAACAGGTTGTTTAATGAGTCTTCCTCCAATCCTGATGCCACATTCTTCTCCATATAATCCAACTTCTTGGGTTATTTGCTTAGCATACAGTTAGTATTTAAATGCTGTGGAGTTGGTTCTGACTCATAGTGACCCTATATATGGTTTCTGAAACTGTAAATCTCTACAGGAGTAGAAAGCCTCGTCTTTCACCTATGGGACCACTAGTAGTTTTGAACTGCCGACCTTGAGGTTAGCAGCCCTATTCGTAACCACTGTGCTGCCAGAGCTTCTTACAGATTAAATAAGGATGATGAAAGAGTATGACTCTGGCATATACCTTTCCTGATTTGAATCCATTCAGTGTCCCCTTCTGTTCTAACAACTGCCCTGTGGTCTATGCACAAGTTCCTCATGAACACAATTCAGTGTTCTGGAATACCCATTCTTTGCAATGTTATCCTTAGCTTGCCATGATCCACAGTCAAAAGTCTTTGCATAGTTAAAAAGCACAAGTAAACATCTATCTTGTGTTTTCTGCTTTCAGCCAAGATTCGTCTGATGCCAGCAATGAGATATCCCTAGTTTTATGCTCCTTTTGAATCTAGCTTGAATATAAGGCAGTTTCTTGTTGATGTACTTATTGCAGCCAATTTTTTTTTTTTTAATCTTCAGTACTTGCGTATAATACCAGTGATGCTGTTTGATAATTTCCAAAACCTGTTGGGTCATGTTTCTTTGGAATGGGCACAAATATGGATTTCTTCCAATTGGTTGGACAGGTTAGGATGCCTTAAAAAAAAAATTTTTTTTTTTTCCAATCAGTGTGGTGTCCAATGGGGATGTGCTGGGCTCGTTCAATTTAAGGCAGAGAAATCAGCTCAGGAGGTTTTAGGATTCCAAAAGGATAATTTTGATAGATTCTTCTCTGAGGACACAGGATGGTCACAGAGTCTTAATAACTTATCAGAAAGTTAAAAACTGAATTAGTGAGGAAAAGACTAATAAAGTTGGGCTGAAGAATGTTTTCTATCACAGCATGCACCTGCTTAGCAAGCGTTGTTGTAGGATAATTTCATTGGGAAGTCTTATCCTATCCACGCTATAGCCTCACTCTTGCCCCTTAAGAGGTGTTTTAGTTCCCACAACTCAAAAAAACACGTAAAAGGAACAGGATTGGAGTTTCAAGTATACCAAAACAGCTGTGGCATGGTATAAATTGAAAAGTGCAGAATTCTTTGGAGAAGGTTTAGGCTGATGGAAACCACCTTGAAAAGATGTAGGTTATATCAAGAAACAATGGTTTCACATTTTGATACATTTGTTTTATAAAGGTTTCTATGATTTTGTAACAATACCTTTTGACTTACTCTCATATTCTTAAACTTTATCTGAATTGAGTGCACACATTGCAAATACCAATTCAAAATACAGAGTTCTAAAAATTTGACTTTAATTGATTGTTAAGTGCATAATGTAGGACAAAGGAGTTCTTCCTTTTGACCCTCAGTAAGCTTCCACTGCTGTGCTGTCATCCTTTTTTTCTATTTAGTGTCCAGAGTTCCTATTGTCCTGAGCCTGGAGCCCATTAATGTACAAAGACTGCTAATGGACCCTCTGAAGACTGCTGGGTCACCTGGGGTTCTGGCAAATGTATTCATTATCCAAGCTTTTTTCTTCTCTGTTCCCCTCAGCTTTCAGTATTGAATAATTCCTGTGTGGTATTCTATATATAACATCAAATCTTTATTTTCTTTAATCACATTTTGGCTTTTATTTAAATTAAGAATATAAAGAAGCAGTTGTATTTCTGTAGTTTATTATAGACTGGAAGATAAAGCTGTTTTTCTTAGAACTTTTCACATTGCTTTTAGTAAAAAAACCAAAACCAAAACTACTGATAGGTAGAGAGATACAGTCTGACTCCTTAGTCAATGGGCCTTTCCTAGTTTTTTACTCCTGATAAAAGCAATCAGTGGTTTATTTTCTTTTATAATAAATGAAAAAGTTTACAAGTAGAAATTATTCTTTTCCCTTGAATAATCTTCTACCTTTTGTCATTTTGGATAATGTAGAGTTGTTTATACTACCAGAGTTTTAGCAATGCTGTTGTTTAGGGTCATGAATCCTGAGACACACCAGTCTTTACCTAGATCCTTAATGCTCTCAGGGTTATGATTGTCTGTTGGAGTTTTAAATTATGAATTTAAATGTGATTTAAAATTTTTGTTTTTTGAAAGATCTAGACAATTTAAGAGAAATAGATTATAATAATGAAAATTTGGTTCATCTTAGGATATCATTGTATGCTTGATTTTTAAAAATTACTTTTAGATTTTAAGTATAAAACAACTATAATTTTCATAGTCTTTGATAACATAAGCACTTTATTGGTGCACAAGAGATCTTCATACCAAGAATTTTATCATTTTAATATTTTATAATGCAGTATTGGGAGTACTTTTATAACATGTCATGAAGTAATGTTTTCAGAAAGATAAAATGTCGTTCCTCTCTATGTACAGCAGGCATTGCCAGTAGACCTGAGCAACAGTGGTATCAGAAGTCATGGAAGTGGTGGTTTTCATGGAGCATCTGCCTTTGACCCCTGCTGCCCTGTTTCTTCTTCCCGAGCTGCAATTTTTGGCCATCAGGCTGCTGCTGCTGCTGCCCCGAGTCAGCCATTATCAATAGATGGCTATGGATCCGGCATGGTTGCTCAACCCCAACCTCAGCCTCCTCCACAAGCCTCCCTTTCATCATGTCGGCATTATATGCCACCACCTTGTAAGTATAAATTTAACTGGGCGAGAGCCTAGAAGCATATAAATGAAACTGTGCATTCGTCGATGAAATAACTTTTTATTAGTCTAAGTTCGTAAATTTTTAATATTTACTTGCTTTAACATGGGGTATATTTTTCCCATTTCATGCACCATTCACCCTATATCCCCCAAACAATTTACAAAACAAAAAGTATTATGTTTTATCAATTTTACATCTTATCATTTACATTTTTGTATCTCTAAAATTTCAGTACATTGGATGATACTTTGAATTCTTACAAAAGAGGATTTTAAGGAATTTAAATTTATTTTTTAGGAATAACTAGAGACATTTAAAAGCTTAGTAGTTGTTTCTAGACATAGCAACTCTGAATTTGCTATGAGTTTTGTCTTAACATTCTTAAACTTTCCAGACATAAGAGAAAGTTTCTTGACAGAAAGCATTGTCATTTGGAAGTAAGTTGTTGTAGTCACTTGCTGTAGGCAATTAATATAAAATCAGGCATAGCTTTTCTAAAGAAATTTATATCCGGTAGATAGCTAAAGAATTTATAAATAATCTCATTCTGTCTAATGTATACTTAACTACTTTATTAAGCATAATGTAATAATCAAATGGAAATTAAACATATAGTAATAAACACTTAAAAATTTCTGGATATAAATGTGGACGTTTCCAAGAAATTTCTCTTTTAGCTCTGGTAGTATAGTTGTTATGAGTTGGGCTGCTAACATCAAGGTCAGCAGTTCAAAACTACCAGCTGTTCCGCGAGAGAAAGATAAGGCTTCCTGTTCCTGTAAAGATTTACAACCTCGGAAACCTTATGCAGGGTCACAATGAGTCGGAACCGACTCCATGGCACATAACCACCACCACCATAAGTGAATCATAATTTTAAATTGCATATCTTCTTAAATTTCTTCCTTCAACTATTATAAGTCTGTTAAGTCTCAATCCTGTAGACACAGCTAGACTCAATCCAGAATTTGGACAGTGAAAAATGTGAATAAATGTCATTTATCTTTTCAATACTGTAACTTAAATTATAAAGCCAGAAAACATGTTTTCAAATAGGATTAGTGTTTTCAAAACCTTGACAAACCTGAAAATTCTGTGTCCAAACACTGGTAGGATATATGGACTGTTTTTGAGTATTTGTTGGTATTCACCTTTAGTAGAACATCTTTTATTAGGACTTCAGAATGTGTGGTTGCTGGTCTTCCTCCCCTTAAAAATAATATACTGAATTAATTTGTAAGTAAGTCCATTTCTTTTTTAATGTACTAAAGTTAGACTGGAGTCCTGGTGTGGTTCTGTAGGGTAAGCACTGGACTGCTAACCAAAAAAGGGTCAGTATGAGTCATACATGACTTGAGAGCATTTAAACGACAAAAGCAAATTTAGACTTTTTTTTGACCCAGTTACTAAAGTAGTTTTTGTACATCTTAACATACTGCAAACTGGTATATAATCATATAAGTCAAAAGTCCCTTCTCACGTCCCATTAATCTTAATACCTCAGATATCAAATACTTACACCTTATTATAAAACTCTCATAATTTTTCTTTGTACATTGTTTTTATGAGGGGACTTCAAAAAGTTCATGGAAAAATTCTGTTATCTTCTCATTTCATTTTTCCCACACACTTTTTGAAGCTGTCTTATATTTCTTTCCTTTAAAAATAAAGGGGGGGGGCGTCCTTAAAGACTGAAACTCAAAGGGAACACATGGGCAGGCATGTAAGCTTACTGGTAACAATGTTGGTCTACTGGTGAGTGAAAGTGGGGGGAAAGCAGCAACGAAGATAGGGGCTGAGTTTGACCACATTACATTGACTCCTGTCAGGTTTCATAGACTTCCTCTTCTCTCGAGAAGAGGAAGGGCTGGTTGATCTGAAGTATGGTGAGACCTGGGTCTACTGAGCCCATGGACAAGGACATAGCCATCGAGGGCTAGAGCCAAGAGCGACGTGTCCAGCTTATATGAAGTGAGGGGAGACTCGCCCAAATTCACAGATAGTACCCTTTTGATCTAGCTTCGATGGCTTGATGATCAGAACTGGATTAGAGGACAATAAAAAATTTGGTAAAGGAAACAAGTGTAAATTGCTACAATTTGATGAGCTTGACCTATACTTAAATGGATGTAGTAGCTCAAAATACCAATGGAGAGGGAAGGAGTCTTCATATCTTGGATCAAACCTATGTCCTGTCTACACAGAGTTGATAGGGATGGGCAACTTAGACACTGGCTACCTAAAATGGGGGTGCAATAAAGGCACAAAGTGACTGGCTTACAAGTTTTCAAGAGGAAGTTTAGTTTAAGAGTGTGCAGGGGAAGGTAGAACCCCCACTGAATAGTTTTCATCTTGTTTATATGGGTCTGGTGAAAGATTGGGCTAAGATTCTTGTGATTCAATAGAGTAATTGTTATGATGAATTGCTATAGTCACAACTGGTAAAGGTAGAAGTTATGTAACATAAAGTGGGAAGTAGTTAATCTTACATTCCAGGACTGGAGGACCCTAGTACCATCAAAGGAGAAGACCACGAGTGGAATGTCGGGCCCTATCCAGAGAAGCAGCGACACCAAAGATGGAAGCAGAGATATGATGACATGGAGAGATAGAGCAGCTTAGGACTCTAGATTCATGGAACGAGAAAAGCTATGTATTGGCAGCCAAGAGGGCAGGCTTGCAGAATGTGTCCTTTGGTTGTTTAAATAATTATTATTCCTAAGTGTTTTTGCATACGTTAAAAAAACAAAACAGGGAATAGAAACAAATACTGTTGAGTAATGATACACGGGATTGTAACCATTGTAGTGAAATGAAATACAATAGGATGAATGTTAAACCGACGTTCTTACATGTTAAACTATCAGTCAATTCAGAATAAAAACTTAAAAAAAAAGGGGGGAGGCCATTTTAAGCATATTCTACATTTTGTTTTTTCCTTAAATTACCGTTTCATCTTGAATGTTTTTCCTTGTTGTTGTTGTTAAGTGCCACTGAGTAGTTTCTGATCCTATATAGGGTTTCCGAGGAGCAGCTGGTGGGTTTGAATCCCAGCTTTGCAATTAACAGTCTAGTGCTTTTCCTTTTACTATATTAGTGCAAATTAGCACATGAAAATCTAGCTCATTATATTTAGTACTCATAATAATTATATATTAAATTATTCTCTGATGATGGACATTTAAATCTCTTGTAGTTTTCTGAGTCTTCCACAGGGTGAATTTGTAGGACTAACTGCTGAGTCAAAAGGATAAAGCTTTCAAATAAATACTCCGTACGTTTCTGTCCAAGGAGTTGCACTAATTTATACTCTTTTTTGTGGGTATATGAGAATGAAGGTAGGAAATTTAAACTGTATTCCCTATTGTGAAGCCATAACCCTGCTCTGGACTCCTTTTTCCCAAGTGGAAAACAACAACAGAAATCTAATATGCTTTAATTTGCTTGTAAAACATTTAGTTCTTAAGCCTTTTTCATCTAAACATAACTAGAGAAGACAGCATGGTATAGTAGACAGAGCCTTGGCTTTAGATCTGAGCTACCGCACAGCTGTGACTAGCTTAATGACTTTGGGCAAGTTATTTAACCTCTCTAGTACTCAGTTTTCTTACATTTAAAATGTAAATTCATTCTTATTGTCTAGTAATTCTGAAACTCTGACCTAGTGAGTAGTTTGCCATTTAAAAAAAAATGCATTTACATACATATGAACAGTGCTAATGCAACAAGAGATTATATCGTTTGAGTAGTTTATGGTATAAAAGTTATAAAGCAACTGTACCTGAAATGCAATCATTTAAAAGTTTTCTAATTAATAAAATCTATTTGGTAATATATATAAATAAAACTTTTTATATTGAATTGTTATGGTTGGTATATGCTATAAAGCCACAAGAATTTAGTTGGCATAGCATAATATTTTACCTGCAAATGACATGTTGAACTTCAGGAAATAATTACAAGACAATTTTATTTCTACTGGAATACATAAAAGTAGGGAAGGAAGAGAAATGGTGTTTTGGAATGCAGAATATGTCACTTCTTTGCAGTGGTTGACAATCTGTCTTGTCTAGATAAACAGTTAATTAAACTGATGGCTGAAGAGTCAAACGAATTATTCATTATGAAACAAAACATTAAAAAATTTAAATGTTTGAAATGTCATACAACATGAAACTCTGCCTGTTCCTCACCACCCTCACTGTTGTTAATTATGATTGAGCCCACTGCTACTCCCCAGTGTTAGTTCATCTTGTTGGGTTCGGGGAAGGGGGTGCCTTCTTTTTCGCTGGCTCTCCACTTTACCAAGCGTGATGTCTTCTCCAGTGACTTGTCCTTCCTGATAACATGACCACAGTATGATTGATGAAGTCTAGCCATCCTTGCTTCTAAGGAGCATTCTGGCTGTATGTCTTCCAGGATAGATTTGTTTGTTCTTCCAGTCATTCATGGTGCTTTCAATATTCTTTGTCAACAGCGTAATTCAGATTCATTGATTCTTCTACAATCTTCCTTATTTATTGTCTGATATTCACATGCAAGTGAGGCGATTGAAAATACCATGACTTGAGTAAAGTGCATGTTAGTCTTCAAGCTGACGTCTTTGCTTTTGAACACTTTCAAGAGGTCTTTTGCAACAAATTTATGTGATAATGCAATATGTCTTTTGGTTATTTGACTGTTGCTTCTATGAATATTGATGTTGTATCCAAGCAACTTCCATTTTTGTCTCCATTTATCATGATATTATTTATTGGTCCTCTTGTGAAAATTATTAATTTTCTTTACATTGAGGTGCAATCCATACTCAGGTCTTTGAACTTCATCAGTATTTTAAGTCCTCTTCACTTGCAGCAAGCATGGTTGTGTTATCTATATAAAATAGCTTGTTAATGAGTCTTCCTTCAGTTCTGATGCCACATTCTTCTTCATATCATCCAGTTTCTCTGATTTGCTCAGCACACAGATTAAGTGAAAGAATA